GGGGGGGGAGACACCCGCATCTTTTTGTGTCACGGTTATAATCGTTCAAAAACTGTACTCTGTGCTGAAAGACAATCTGAACTTGCGTTTAAGGCAGCGAGAAAAGAAATCATTATTGCTGGCTCTCAATGAGACAGGTCAGTTAAACAAGTCGAGCCGCAGTTACCGACCCATCTTCACAGGACAGCTGGTACATTATCAACACCCCACAGCTGATATGTTCGTTGATTTTTTTTTTTTTATGTCCGTCCTAGAACGTCTTGAGGAATTAATTGTTTAAAAGAACTGTCTAATTCTTATATCACCGGGGTGCTCTCAAGCAATCTGATGTGGTGTTAAACAATTTATACCAGCACACAAGTACATTTTGCAATGGTCTATATTTGCGAAATATTTATTCTCTGAAATGCCCTTGGAAGTATCTTTATCTTTCAGAACAGTGCAACTTGGAGCTTCAATGTTTCAAATGATACCCTTTTTTATTTTGGGTGTTAACAATTCTTTACGAAATTGTGTGTGTGTTTGTTTGTTTGTTTGTTTGTTTTTTGCTTCTGTTCAAACCTACTTTACTTCTTGTAGTTTCACTTCATGTTTAAGACTTTTACAGCCATGCGCACCAAGTGCTCTCAGTGGCGTCGGGTGGGTTGAAGAGAGAGTGGGGTTTGTAGTGACCAAACATGAGTCGCTCAGAATATAATGAATGCATACTGACGAGAAAGAAAGACAGTCAAATACGTATAATAAACAAGCTAAAAGGAAAACGACTTATAAGTGACAACACCATGTTTGAAACTAAAAGAATGGGCTAACCTATACGTCTTTATAATGCACATGATTTGGGCCCTGCGATTTTTATGTTGAGTGAATTTGCCGGTGACTTTTTAGCTCAACTATGCATCCTTCATGATGAACCGTTTTTGATTAAAATACAAATATTATCTTGGGGGATGTGGGGGGGGGGGGTGCTTTCCATCCCCCACCAGAATGCGTAAATTCTGCTGGATGATGTGATCCTGGTCTCTTGACAGTGACTGTATCTTTATGCGATCGTTAAAGAACTAAAGCGAGTTTCCAATAAATATTCTACAGGAGCCATTTCAACCTTGAAGACACAATATTAGATTCCAGTTTTAAACTACTTCAACTCACTGATCCAATACAAGGATGCCTGTTCCATTGTTTTTCCTACTTCCACACATAGAACACAGGTGTATGCACTACTCGAGACAACAGTGATTGTTAACCCACCCAAAATTTCATATATGTGTTGCACACGGCTTGATTAAAGAATACACAGAGAATCCCTGAAAAAACGGGATGGGGTGGGAGGGGGTGCTCAGTCCATCTTTAGGTCTGGAGCCGCGAGAGTGTGCAAATTATGAGCCGAGTGTCAAGTGATGCCTGGGCTTACGCCACACAGTGGGTGAATTCAAGCTTAATATAGAACCACCAGTCTCTTTGTCACAGTCTTGAGCCATGCACGGTCAATACCCAAGTCATATTCAGTCTCCCCAACAGAAAGAGCTCCTGAAAGGATAGAGCTAAAATCGTAATAAATAGTAGTAGAAACCTAGACCAATCAGATCGCTTTTCGAGTTATACCTCGAGTACGTTTGGTGTCTATGTGGTGTGACATTTCTGTTCCAGAATAATGTTTTGTCCCTTTTTAGATTTGGTAACTTTTTTTTAGGTGGGGGGGGTAAAATTGTAATTAGCAAAAGTAGCTTTTTGGTAAAGGAGACCAAGTGGGGCTGAAATTGCAAGCCCTACCCCACCAAACGCCACTGTAGGCCTACTCCTCTGACTTTTAATTTGTTTAAAGCAGGTGTAGTTGGTTGATACATGGTACTTAACCCCTTTCTTATTCTACCCCCCCCCCCCCCCCACACACACACACATAAATTGAACAACCCCATAAAGCATAGGTTTCTTTTTTGTGTTTTCCGTGTTCCTACTCGCTGCCGAAAATTTGCAGATTAAACAAACAAACCAACCAACAACAACAAAAACCAACAACCCACAAATAGGAAATATGTTGGGACATGTGCTTGATGATGATGACCATGATGAAGATGATGAAAATTATGATGATGATGTTGGTGATGACAATAACCAACTTGTTGAGAGCGCTGTGCAGAATTAATGTTGGTGTTAGTTTATTTTTCTTCATTTGGTGCCTACACTAGACCCCCTCAGGCTGTCTTGAGGGGCAGGACACAACCCGTATTTCTAAATCTTGGTATAGAGTGACCAAAATTTGGAAACAAGTCGTCATTAGGGTTCCACAAAGGTATGCCGAAAAATCACATGGAGGCCATTTCTGAGTGGTGGCGTTGTTAGTTTTTACTGCCCTACTTCTATGCTACAAAAACTTCATAACGTTTAGAAGGACGTGGCAAGTAACATTTGTTATAATGTTCATGGTTAATACGAAAGAATTCAGGGAAAAGACTGACATCTCTAAACATGTGTGCTAACAAGTTATTACTGTCTGCGGTAAGTAGCGGAACCCGAGGCACTTCAATGATCGACCGAAAATGTAAAAATCCCGAAAAACCTGGCCTCGCCAACCACAGAATTACGAGACGCCTTCTTTTAAAACAGCAGCAGCAACTCAGACACAATATTCAACAAATCAAAATTAACGTGTACATTTTACAGCATTGGAGGACAAGACTCTAAACAGCGTCATACGTCATGGGCTTTAAAATCCTATCTTCTTGAAATTGCTGAGCCATTTTAGAAGCTACCGTTAATTAAAACGCAAAGCATAATATAATATATGAACATTTTTTTTTATTTCAGACCAATCACAAGCTATTAAAAAATGTATTCCGATGGTAGTCGCAAAGCCATTAAAATACAAGCATCTCGCCCTGGGGAAAAAAAAAAAAGAAAAAAAGCATGAAAATCAAATCTCTTGATATTTTTACTTCATAACCAACTACTGCTAAACATTTTATTTCGTGAAATAAATAAATGAACAAATAAATGAATAAATAAATAAATGAATAAATGAATAAATGAATAAATGAATAAATGAATAAATGAATAAAAATATTTATAAAAACGCAAAGTCCTCGTAGTTCAAATATTCTACATTTGAGCACTGGTGTTTTTTTAATAATCGAAATCACAACAGTTAACACGAAATCCCAGCAGTTAACATTAATATCAGTGTAGAAAGACGTAGGGCCTACACGACACAACATACAACATTCGACTCCAACAGAGTGGCACGATCAACATTAACATAACAGTATTGTGTTTGAAGTTAAAGGAAAACACTAAGTAAACTTATGACAATTCCATACCAAAAACAAGCCAGACAGCAGACTGAAGCACCATAAAGATGAAATAGAAGTAGGGGAGGGGGGTGTCCACAACACACGTCCGCGTACATCAAAAAGCACTGCGGTTAGGTAAGCTATAATAAAGTCTCGTGGGTATACACATAATGGTAATGGCTTACCGCTGTCGTTGTTGTTGTTGTTGTTGTTGCTGTTGTTGTTGTTGTTGTTGTTATTGTTGTTGTTGTTGCTGCTGCTGCTGCTTTTGCTGCTGCTGCTGTTGTTGTTGCTGATGTTGTTATTGCTGTTACTGTTGTTGTCGTAGTTATTGTTGCTTCTTTGCGTAAACGTTTAACAGCCTTGTGGACTCTGAATTGGTCATTTAGAAAGTCGTCGACTTGACAGCCTAGCTAAGCTCTGGGTTGACTGGAATAATCCTTGGAACAATTATTTTTTTCGGATCCTTCGGGCCGCATTCGGATTCGAATTGCAGACTGGCACGTTGCACAATAGGCTACTGTCCTAAATTCGAGACTAGCTGTCCCCCAGAACAGTCTGAGAACAGTTCGTTTCGTATGCCTGTCTGTGTGAGACTTAGCTTGTGTACACCGATACTTTTGACATCTTGGACCATATAGATGTTCAATTGTCTAAAAGTATGCACTTCACTGAAAGTCATAAGGCCTGTTAAAAATAGACAACCATTGTACAGTTTGCGCTCGTATTTTCAGTCTTGTAAATTATCATATTCAGTCCCTCATAAAAGCAATATAAGAATAACGAGGTTCCAAAAGGCTGAAAAGTGCCGAAAACCTAACATCCCTTTTCGAGACTCTCCTTTCTACCAAACAGGGCAACATAATATTGTTATGAGAAACTCACCTTTCTTTTACGATCTCCGCCCAGCTGAAGCTGCTTGCATCTTTTTATAGACAGCTGTTTTTTCACGTTGCACTCACGGCACTCTAGCTTCAGGACGACCTTCTTGGTAGTTTTCGCCTGAAAAATAATCCAGTAGAACCAATAAGGGGCACTCAAATTAACCTTTAGATTTTTTTTCTGGATCACAATATAGATCTAGACGAAGATCAACGTGTTGTAAGGTTACGACTTACCCCTCGAAATTTAGTAGTTTGTGTGGTGTGTGAGTGTGCGAATGTGAGTCGATCATTGTGAAAAAATGCGGTGGTTTAACGTCTTTTGTAACACTGTAAGGATATTGAAGAAAAGGCACCTCCGAATTAATGTTTATCTCCCATAGCACCAAACCTAAGGAAAATTCGTGTAGGCTAAAGTGTCTTTCCCTACAACGTCGGACCGAACTGAGCCTCGAGTCCCTATATACCCCAAACTCACTATCACGAGTCTGGAACTAAACACGTGATAATCGACACCACTAGATCAATACGATTGTGGGTAAATTTGTGTCGTGGTATGTAACATAATAATGTTTGTGAGTTGTCTTTTACTTGAATAAACAGACTGATTGATGGTCATCCTTGCAGTTGCCGAAAATGGCGAATAGAATCCCTCCTCCTACCCCACTGGGGAAATTAAAGGTATGAGACTTTAAGAAATGATCAAAATAAGCAGAGTCACCTCACAAAGACAGTATGAGACATGTCCAACGTTGCTTGGGATAACATGACGTAAAGAAGTGAAACTTCACGATAATCTGAAAGACATACATTACCTTTCTCCTCAACTTAGGTCTTGTTTGGCCTTTGAACCCACTCTGCTTTCTGTCGTAATTTCGTGTTCCTGGTTGAAAGTGAAAAAGTCTATAATATAATACTGGCTATTCATCTTTTTTGCACAATATATTTGTTTAAAAAAACAAGCGGGGTAATAAACAAACCAGCCAACTAATTAACTAACTAACTAACTAACTAACTAACTAACTAACTAACTAACTAACTAACTAAATAACTAACTAACTAACTAAATAACTAACTAACTAACTAACTAACTAAATAACTAACTAACTAACTAAAACAAAAACATGAGAATTGTCAAACGAATGAAAACAAACACCCCCCTCCCCTTCGTCCCTTTTCTCCATTCACAATTTTCGAACAAACTGTTTTTTTAAGAGCATCAATCATAGAAGAGGAACAAAACATCTTCAGCAGCACAGATACAGAGATCTGTGATCTACAGTCTAGTACTAGTAGTACGCACATAGGAAAATAACAAGGACGTGCGTGGAAAACTTTCCCAAAGTACGAACCTCGCTATATACCTGTTTAGAACAAAAAGAATATCACAAAATATGTATAAAATAAAATCGAGACCTAAAAATAATATCTTCGCCATGTGCGTGTTTACAATGTGCGGGCTGGACTGTATTATGTTGCTCACAAAATGCGGAGGGCACTTTTTGGGGAGTGACATTTCTGATCTTGTGCATAAAACAATATGTCTGTACAATTAACGAAATGTGAATTGGTTTGAGGTTTTTTTTCTCGGGCAAATGCAGCTCAAATCTCCAATATTCTCACCATCTGCGACTTTCCTTGCTTTGCCCCGTTTGTACTGGGACACTCTGTGTTCTGTATGTTTGTTACAGTTCTTGCAGTGAGTTCTTCGATTTTTTGGAACGTTCACCTAAGGACATAAGAAATTTCCCAAGGTATAATTAAATTCCTGGTGAAAGACTATATAGGGCATCATTTCACATTTTTTAGAAAATATACATAAATTAACATTTCCGAATGAATTAATGAGCTTTAGGAACTCTGTTTATTTATTGCTCTGGTCATTCCCCGACTCCATAGTGTGGTTTATTTTTAAACGCTCTCTCATTTGGATTGCATCTGTTTTTAAACTCTTCACAATGTAGCAAAAGAGCGGCGAACTTGACTCGTAAGATTGTTAATAATGTAATGTAAGTATAGACATTTCCTTTCTCTCCGTTAGGCTTTGGGTCTTCGAAATAGTACCCTGCAAGACACCACTGGAGTCACAGACAAGGCGCACGGGTCTGCATATTAAACATCAACCAAGAGACAATTTTCTCCTCCTCGCTCGCGTTTCATTTAGGAGTACATTGTTTGAATTCGAGTTCGGTTTGGTAGGCTGAGAACTTTACAAGTGTTGTTTTTTTTTTCAAACGAAGTTCTTAGGCTAAGTGCAATCGAAAGCCTTCCAGCACATTTTAAGAAAACAGAATTGAGCTGTGGGGAAGGAAAGGGGGGGGGGGAGTTTGGCAGCTATCAGAAGCTAAGGAGATCTTTCCAGTTTATTACGATCAGACTGACTGACGTTCGGGCACAACAATCTGAACGCTCGTATCGACGGTTCAGTTCAAGAAACTCACCATACGCCATTTTTTCTAAAACCAACTTTTTTTTCTTTTTTTTCCGTGGCTGCAGATCTTTCTTCGTCACGTATCTTTTCAGTGTGAGGATCGGATAAGTTATTTACAGTCTGATCCTCAGATCAAAAAGATATGAGACGGAGAAAGATCTGCAGCCAAGAGAAAGCAACAACAACAAAAAAGTCGAATTTAGAAACTTGGGGCATAGATTCTTGAACTGAACCGTCTGAATGTAGCCTGTACTATAATTCAAGATCGAGGCGTTCATGCTATGCCATTGCTGCGTGAACAAGACGGACATTACGCTTCTATTACAGTTAGCACTGCCGACGTATGTGGTGTAGCGGTTAGGCGCTTAGCTGTCGCACACAGGAGACTCGAGTTCGATTCCCGAGTATGGAGACATTATTTTATCAAGGATCTATGTCTTTCTACTGGGATCTGTATCCCTTTCAGCCCGGGTTGACCTTGGCAGGTAGAGTCGGAAGCCTGCTTCCGAAATGATCCAGACTGTGTCGATGGGGGCGTAAAAACACAAACATTGAACCCCCCCCCCTCCCCCCACCCGAAAAAAAGAAAAAAAGAACAAATATATATTAAAAATCCCCATAGAACAGCAGCACTGTTGCCTTCATTTTGTTACCAGGAAAATAACGTGGCTGGGAGCGAAACTCCGCTTAAAGTTAAATACAGACTATTAACACATGGAGGGCCTTCCAAGGACCACAGTGTTCGTCCGGACAACTGACAAATTCATCCAGTGATCTAAGAGAAAGAAAATGATGCTATGATTAGGTACTCCAAGCTGCTGAGCCAGCTTGCTTGACTAGATCTATGCTGTGTTAGAAAAAATAACCGGCATCTTTACCGCGCCAATAACTCATTAAGTCTCTTTTTTTTAATCTTCAGTTTTTGGTACCATTTAAAATATGGTCTTTTCATCTTTTATATGGAGTAAAACTATTTCCCAAAAAGAGTTATCATGCGATCATAGCCTAATTTATAGATTTTAAAAAGTCAGCAATCATTGATTTGCGGGAAAACAAAATTCCGACTATACCGATAACTTTTAAGGTGCTGTCATTTTTTGACGCTCGTTAGAATTGATTAATATTGTTCCAGTATTGTTTCTTTTTCCACTGCAAATTAATATTGAAGTCTAAAGAACTGATTTTCCTATGGTATGCCTTTATTTTAGATTAATTGTAAACTAAGTGAAAGTGGACAATATTTTAAATAGAAAAAAATGTGAGCTTTTTTGTGTGTTTTGTTGTTTACTCGGAATTGTCAATCTCACATCTTTCAAAATGTACCATTGTAAAGTTCATTCATTTTTCATTCGGAAACAATATATTTTTGTACGAAACCAAGCACCGGATTCTTCCTGCGCCACCGTGAAAGCAGTCCCCTATCGTTCGCAAACGTCCTACCACTGCATCAAAGCCGATGAGAGAAGGCGCACTTTCGCTCAAGTGGTAGGAGCTAAACGACCTCTTGTTTGATCCTGTTGTGTTACGAAAGATGGAATCAAAGGCGCTAATTGGTAAATAGACACTTTAAAAGATGGTTCATCTTGTTTAAAACATGTTACAGAGTTCAGTAAGTTTAAAACACATTTTTGTGGGACCGATATGCCGGAAGACTTGGAGGTTCCTTTACTCGCTTCTAAGTGCAAGACATGTCCACTTTGTTTTGTAGGCTTTGTTAATTTTTGTGTCGTGTTTAATCTAGTAAAAGGCACACTGTTAGAAAAAATTGATCAAATCAAGAATCGTTCCGTATGTTTAATTGATAGACTCTAGTCTTTGTTTGCATTAAACCACACAGTGGCAGGAAAAGACGTGTTGTTTGCCGGTTCGACGTGCAGAAATAACCGCAGACACTAATTCTTAATACGTCTCTATACAAAGGGCAGCCGGGTGTATGAAATTATTAATACATGTATTATTCTGCGAGGGGAGGCAGGATTCAAGTGAAGACTAATAAATTACAATATTAGCGAGGCTTATTAAGACCTAGAGGCCCAAACAACGACAGTGTTGCATCTGAGCTTCATGTTTTCGTAAAATGCCATCCTAGTATAGTAGTATTATTTTACCTGTTGGCAGGCCTTTGAGCAATTGAACTGAGAAAAGTTCACCATTATTTTTTAAATAAATTTGATCATATCGGTATAGATCTACACTTCCATGGAGTATCTTAAAAAACGTAACTCCTACGTGCAACTTAATTGAATAATAATCAGGAAATCAGTAAATGGATCATTAATTGTGTGAGAATATATTAACTTGTTCAAAGAACAGTGCAAAGACTCTCGTTATGTTGTATACAAGATTTAGCGTACACACACTCATCTCGAAGGCCTGACTAGGCGGACGTCACGTCGGCCAGTTGCTCGGGGGGAAGAAGAAAAAGGGGAGGGGGGAGGAGGGCTGCTTCAAAACGAAATGTTTCCCTTTACCAGAAACGCATAGGTTTTTTTTATATATGTTAACTAGTATGTAAGAAAAAGATTGGCCTTTCAGTTGAGACTGCGCTAAAATTGTTATCTATTTTCAAAATTGCTATTTCTGGTGTTTCTGTGTTTTATTTGGCTGTTGCCACATCTTCTTTTGTGGCTTTATCATTTTACCTTCTATCAAAATAGATACGATCTCCCTTCCGTTATTATGGTTTAAAAAATTAATTGTTTCCAATGTTCCCAGCCAAGAGGTTTGCGATTGAATAATCCTGCACTCCGAAAAATCTTTGCGCTAAGTCGCGCACCCCTGGACCTTGTTGTCATTTCCCCGAAGGTTTATGAATTACTTATCCTCAGTGTAAAAAAAACACACACTTTGAAAGAGGAAAAATATCTGAAAACAAGTATGTAAACTTCTTTTTGTTTTGTATTTACTATTAAGGAGAAAAATAGCATGAATTTGAGACGAAATGGACACTTTGTCACGTTGGCGCACACTTTTCTAATTAAACTCGGATAGTTGCGTCCTCATTTAAGTCCTACTTAAAATTATAGGATGTTTCTGAAAAAAAAGTATCTTCTTATTTGCATTAGAGAGGGTGTTTGTAGAAAGAATGAGTAGTGTCAGAGTTTGTTTATTAATTAATAACGTTCTAAAATGGGATTGTTGAAAGTTGCGCTACATATTTAAAATATGGTACAGAAATTTCAAGATCCCATAAATTATATAAATATTAAGATGAAAAGCTACTATTTGTTTCATGTTTCTCAGAATCAAAAGTTCTCCAAAACGAAAGCACAAACATATTTTGTGAACTTTGAAAAATCCGTTTAGAGTAAGAGTACCTTCTGAGATCTCTAAAAAGGCGAAAAACTCTCGGGTGCATTTTGCGAATGTCAGAGACACCTTGGCAGATAAAAGTCGAAAAGAGTTTTTTCTGCTGACAAATTCAAGGTTCCAAAATTTGCTTTTGATTAAAAAACAAAAATAATTACCCTTTTCTTTAGGCTGAGATCAGCAGCCATCCCCCTACCATCCTTTTTTAAAAAAGGTTGTCGCATAGTTCGTACTTGGTTTCATAACACAAACTGTCAAAATTGATATGGGATGGCTAGACAAAACCCTGCTCATACGTATAATGCGCAACCGAATCAACATAGATTGTCTTGCAAAATAAATGTGATTCGGACCAGCATAGAGCATGCTATAAATTATAATACAATGGTAACGAGAGTTTTTTGCAGGAGAATTCCAATTGATACAGGGGGGGGGGGGACGTTAGAAAAAAAACAAATCAAACTTTTTAAAATCGCCAACTCACCATATTAAACCCTGAAGGATGTGCATAAGAAGAATATAATCTCAAAGAGCTCACTGGTATTTTCTGTGTCTTTTAAAATAAATATATCTACATCTGTTTTATTTTCTTCATCAAAGAGGCTGCGAGTCCTTGGTTTCAGCTTCCCTTTATATAGAGTCCAGAAGCTATTCAGTGGTCGCCCGTGAAATTAGGGTTATTAGCAAAGACACACCAGAGAGGTAAGCTGTCTCGGTTGCATCACATGATGACACGGCCAAACCAAGATGTGGCCTCACAGTTGGCGGCAATAGTTACAGAAACTGACAGGTGAATGACTGGCAGACAAAGGTGAACATTGCAGCACACGTTCAAACTCTTCATCGCATTTAACCTCTCTAAATTTAAAAGATATTGTAAGGAAAGCCATGAAATGATTGGGGGGGGTTTTTTCTGTCCTTTTAGTTTTAAAATCTAATCTTTCCATACGTGTTACCACTAAACAGTACTTCTTTTCTCCTACAGAGTTAAACAAATATCTTTCAAATACTGGAATTCCGTAAACCAATGGCCTATATTATGTCCTCCTTCGGACTCGACACATTTTAAGGCGTCGTTCATAATGTTCAGTGGCGGCCAAACACAAGGATCCACTCAACCATGAGGACTCACTCAAAGTAAAAAGTCAAAGCCACACACACTGTACACACAGCATGGAGCTGTTTCTACAGACAATAGGTGGGAGGGGGGGGTTGCCCAAATATACATCATTTGTGAAGTTGATATAACCTGAAAGGTGAATTATGGGCTTTTGCCAAGGAACCAAATGTTTTAGAGGAAGAACACATTGCTATCCTTTGACTTTGATAGCTCTGTGAACGGGAAAATGGTACAGTCGTAGACGAAGATCTGCCTTGAGAATGCGGGCCGTTGACATGTAGGAAAGTCATTGCTGTGGACATCGTTTACGGACAGACATCGCATGATACTCATCTCGTGAATTCTGCACCCTGATGACGTTTAAAGGGGTGTGAACAGTGTGTGTTTGACCTGGGGTGGTCATTTTGTCTGGGGATTTTTAGTTCAAATTCCCAACAGGTCCTAACTAATGGACCATTTCCACCCAGTACATCAAAGAAGGCCTTAAGGGCACTTTTACATTATTTCCGTACCTTGAGCGCAACTTACGAAATCAGTTGGTTGTGAGGAAATGTTCAATACAAAAGACTCTCTGCTCTTTATTAATCGTAACCATGATCTCATCAGGCAAAGGAAACTTGAGAGAAACTATCTGCAAACCTCTGTAAGCCTGTTTGACTATTGTAGTTTGCAATATGGCTCAATGGTCGGGATTTTTAGTGGTAGGCCTGATGCGAACTAGTGCGTCACGCTACAAAAAAGGGGACATAATTGAAAATGGGTTTTTTTTTTACGCGCTTCGTAGAGCAAAACTATTGTGCAGATTTATCTAAAATGAAAATCAAACAAATTCCTTTTGACTTCCCAATGTTTTTTTACAAATTTGAAACGCAAAACTTCAGTGTGGGGGAAAATATTAACCAAAAAAGTTGTACAGTTTTTTTTATTACTCTGTATGTACTCTTTTCTCAAACTGGTTCAGGTTCAACGACATAATTGTTAATGGTTTATAGAGGACATTTTTGAAGATGTATTTGAAGCTTGTGCTGTTTCTTACTCCTAAAAAGGGGGAAGTATATTTATTATGATGGTTTTGTTTCACTCTGTCTTGAACGAACATGTATTTTCTTGACTGTACAAAAGTAAATGGAAACACTTCAGCACACAAATAGTTAAAGATACTTGCACATAGTATGATAATCTGTATCATCTAACATAAGGAGGGGGTAGGCAGGTATAAGCACACACACAAATGCATGCATGTGTTTGTGTGTGTGTGTGTGTGTGTGTGTGTGTGTGTGTGTGTGTGTGTGTGTGTGTGGTGTGTGAGTGTGTGCAGGGGGGGGTGGAGATGCGAATGGTTGGGAGGGAGGGGCTGGTATTGAAGACATATACATGTTTGTTATGATATATATATACGAACACGCATTTTAGTTCCTGCTTTTTTTTAACATGCAAAAGGTGTAGAATTCACTTGCTTACAGGGACAGTCAGGGAAATCATGGGATTCTGGTCGCCGTGGTATGCACGGATCTCGAAGATTTCCGCAAGGGTGGCGCTAAGTTCAGGTCACAACTTCTGTAGGAAAAAAATCGTGGAATAATGAAGGTCAAATAACGAGGCGGATGACAGGGTACAGGTTTATATGGACAGATCTTCCGTCTTCCCCTCTTCCTAACAAGCTGCAAGTTGAATCGTTCACGGCCAAGCTCTGTAACAGAGTGCAGCTTAAAGCTAGTTATTCATTGTTCTCAATGTGGGAGAGATGAGCATCGCAGAGGGGATCCTCAACGCCACATGGCTCGAGGGTCTCGGGAGGGGTCATGTGACGACGGATATTGTCACTAGTGCAGAGGGGGTCATCTCTCGTGACGACAGTAGGTTCACCCAGACAGCCATGAGGGATTCCGCATCCCTCAGTGGACAGTTTGCCCCTTTTGGTGAACACGTCTCCGATAGGTCAGATGTGTGCTTATCAGTTTTAGGAAATCCATCTGACCCCGATGGGAGTTCCAAGAATAAATATCATCTAATAAAGAAGGGAAGGGAGAGAGGAAAAGAAAAAATTGGGAGAGGCAGACTACGTTTAGCTCCCATAAAGAAAGTAAGGGTGACTGTGGTCACTCACTTATGCAGTCCACTCCCCTATAATTTCCCCCATATAGATGGTCAGAAGTCTGAAAAGGCTGGAGCCATTGCGCCCCATTCAAATGAAAGATTGCAAAGCTTTGTAAAATAGACTATCCCTCCTTTGGATTATTCCATTCTTTTAACACACTAGTGAGATGTACATACATATTTACAGCATCATCGCCTCTCAGAGATGGTAGCCGAAGGAATCATGGCTATCTTATATTTTGTAAAAAATCTTTGTCTATTTCCACGTAAGTTTCTACTATCTGATAAGTGTTGACATGTAGGCCTATAATTAGCACTTACATATACATGCACTTCAGAAGCATGAATTTTTAAACATGATTTTTAGTACAACAGTGGCATTGTAGATCTACACAGGCATGTCATATCTAACAACGATGTTTGTCTAAAATGTTTATATGATCATTGTAGTAGCTTGGTATGATATGTTTTGGCACCCCTTTAACATTGTTCCGTTTTATTTAGAGGGCTGGATCTCTTTATGTCGCCGATAATAAATGTGACGGGGCTGAGTCAAGTAGGTGGAGAGCCCTGGAAGGAAACCTCCTGAAGAATACGCCTAATCAAGACCCTCTCGAGTTTTCAAAGCAGACTAACAACACTGCTCTCCAGCTTGAGATAAAATGACGTCTAGGCGTGACCTCGACAAGCATAATGCGTCGAATGGTGTCATTACTGTTTGAAGGACTACGGAGTACATTATGTTTACCCAGTTGTTGCTCTTTGCGCCTGTCGCACAGAAAAACAGACTCGTTTATACCTCGTTTCTGTCGTTCGTACATTCAACAGTTTAGTTTGGGATGATTGACAGTAGCAACAGTTCTGTCTCTGTACATTGGCTGTCGTTTTGTGATGATCTGGTCTATAATAATTATAATAATGTTCTGTGGCGGGTGTGGTTGTACTTATAACTTATAAGACCAGTGAGGGCATTTCGAAATCGGAACTCCTTTATTCCCCCTCTTAATATTGAGAGTTATTCCAAAAGATAATATCTATTTCAGCGCCCCCCCCTTTTTTTTTAAAGGTCGAATTAAACCTTTTCCTTTTCAGAAATTATGGGAAAAGTAAAATCCGTTTGTAAAATTTGAGTTGTGAATCCAGCCGCAAAGCTGACGGGCTGTTGTGGTGTGGCTAGTTATAGAGTTGACAACTCGTGAAGTTTCATGCGCACCGTGAAGGGCGTCAAGTCAGGTAAAAAGTATTTCAAACGAAAAAATTCGAGTTCCTGGGTCTCATTCCGTCCCAGAACACAAAAAAAACAAATATGTATGTGTGAAATGAAGGGAATTCACAGGGAAATCTATGTATATTATCCTTGCGTTAAAGAATCTTCTCAACATCTTTACTCTACATTCATCTCGCGAATCCTTAGCTGGTTGCTATGGTGTATTCTACATGAGCACGGGGTCCGAACCCAAGACTTTCCAAACAATTTTTTTCTTCTTTGTCTACTGAGTTAAATAGTTCCGGGTTCCGCTATGCCCTTGTAATGAAGGAGACAGATGATGATGGCGATGAGGAGGAGGAGGAGGAGGAGGAGGAGGAGGAGGAGGAGGAGGAGGAGGAGGAGGAGGAGGAGGAGGAGGAGGACGACGACGACGACGACGACGACGACGACGACGACGACGACGACGACGACGACGACGACGACGACGACGACGACGACGACGACGACGAAGACGAGGACGAAGACGAGGACGAAGGCGAGGAGAGAGAGAGGGAGAAAGAGAGAGAGAAAAAGAGATAGACAGACAGACAGACAGACAGACAGACAGACAGACAGACAGACAGACAGACAGACAGACAGACAGACAGACAGACAGAACGAATAAGAGCAAAGGAGTAGAGATGCGACAAAGAAAGATATATTACAGCCGAGTCCATCAAAGTATTATGGTACGGAAAGTATTCTGCTTTTTGAGAAGTGCTCTTCGCACCAGCACACTTGTATTCGGTTTCATTCCAGATAGATCTACACTGGTTTCTACACACCTGTTTTTACAAGTTGACATAAAAGAAAATACAAGAATATTCTAATCATATTCGTAGCCTTCTTACACTTGTGTTTTTTGTAAAGAGTTTCTATGTCTGTGTACTCGCCAGTTCGTTTCTATGTCTATTTTAACTTAGCGTAGGTATGTGAACGCGTACTCAGCATCTCAGACGAAAACAGCAAAACGAACGATAGTAACAGGAATAAACATACATTTCTCCACGGGGTGGCAATACGGTTCTCATCATTAATGCTTCATCAAACCGCAGCCTTTGGCTTTTAAAGACGTGGGACATGTTTGTATGAATTTCTCATGGGTCGTTTGAAACATGACACGCAACGGAACGCAACTCCGGGTCACACGTGGGGCAATGCAACACCCGTGTTGTGACACCGTTGAGAAGGCAGAGCACTTCAGCTTGTTTTAGTAGCTTCCGCGAGGCTAAGTGTGGGTTTTTACACATCTTT